ACATATAAAAAAAAAAAAAAAAAAAAAAAAAGGAGAGAGAAATTTCTAACCCACAAAAAAGCAACTTAGCAAGAAACATGCACATAAAAAGGCTGTTTAACAAAATTTGCCACAACCGGCTGCCGGCGAAGGAGCGCTGCACCAACGCCGGCTCTTGCCCGACTCCGCCAGCGCGGCCGCTTCCGTATTTTTTTTCCCCACGAGGCTCACCGCCATCGACAAGGTGACAGACGATACACCCAGACTCTCTTTATTACTAAAAGGAATGAATCGCGTCCTTGCAACGTCACGACATGTCAGACTCCCAACAGCGCTCTCCCCCGTGAGCAAAACCACAGGTTCTGAAGGAGAATGTTTAACGAGCATCTAAATTTTCTGGTTTCATAGGATTCAGAAAATTGAACAAACACAGAAGACCTGTAACAACGTGGTCAAGTCAGTGCAACACAACTTTAAGGCTATGAAAAAATGAAAATCCTATTCCAGGCTTCCCGGTCATTCTACAACTGTGGGCGAGGACGCCAGCGCAGCACGGAGCCCCGGGAGCTCCGTGGTTTCCCTGCGGGAACGAGCTGCCTCTCGGGCTCTGCTCCCCTCTACTCGCCGCTTCCGGAAGAGGCTGCTTTCAGGCAGCCACAGGGTCAACGCTTCCTTTCATCAAAGCGTTTCACACGAAGTGGGTGTTTCCTCACACCGTCTCACTTGTTCGGGGGACAATCAGTAACTTTAACTCGTTTTCAGCGCAGTCCCCGGACTCCGGACTCTCAGCAGCCTAGGGACAGCATTTCGGATGCTCTCCAGCCTGAAGCGTTACAAACTGTTCCCGTGTGTCGATGCGATTTCTCTCCTGCGCGGATTCACGGCTAGCAGTAACTCCGAGCACCGCAGACTCCCTGCAGAGCTCCAACACAGCCTCGACAGCTACAGCCACCGGTCAAAGCTGTGAAACAGCTCCGCAGCCCACTGCAACACCGCCTGCGGAAAATAACCCCCCGACCTTCCCCTTTTGCCGGGGAGGGGGCTCGGGACGGCTGTTGGACAGCCTCCGCCTCCCGCCAGGGTCCGGCACAGAGCTGGGAGATCCTGCCACGGCCCTGCCTCCCGCCCAGCACGGGCGATGGCCAAGTGGGCTGCGAAACCCCCGGCTGGACGGGATTTTCTACACGGAGTGCAGCACAGACCCCCTGATCTCCGTGCAGGGCCAACCCGCCAACGTCAGGTGTGTTTCTTGCATGTGACTTTCCTGATGCTTCATGAAACTCCTCCTGAGCACAAACCTCTTCCTGCAGAGGGGGCACTGGAAGAGCCCCTCTCCCGAGTGCCGGCGCTGGTGGTTCAGGAGGTAATCCTTTCTCCTGTAGCTTTTGTCGCACTCGGAGCACTTGTAGGGCCTCTCTCCCGTGTGAGTCATCTGGTGTCTAACGAGCCACGAATGGCAAATGAAGCTTTTCCCACAGTCGCTGCAAATGTAGGACTTGCCCCTGCCCTGGCTCTGCTGCTGGCTTGCTGGGCTGCCCCGGGGCGCCGAGTGCCGCCGGCACCTGCTGCAGGCCTCCGGCTTGTCCTGCGGGTGATCCCAGCAGGGGCTGGCTAACGGCTGTTCCGCAGGGAAGCTCTCCTCGCTTTCCGCAGGCGGCAGCTCCTCCGCGCCGAGGCCGCTGCGGTCACGAAGCCCGGTTCCGCCCGCGGGGTTTTGTCGGCGCTCGGTGCAGGGCACCGGCTGCGGCCCCGCGGGCAGCCCCTCGCAGCAGGCGGGAGCAGCCCCCTGCCTGACGCCCTTCTCACCCGGAGCGCACGGCTGCGAGTGCAGCAGATGGAGCGCCCTTTCGCCGAGACTCTTCTCACACGTGGGGCCTGCAAACATCTCCCCTTCTCGGGCTCCCTGGGGAGTCTGAAGATGTTCCTGCTGGCTGGAGTTTCTCTCACGTTTGTTGTACGCGCACGGTCCCTTTCCGACACTGTTTTCCTGAGTGCTAAAGAGATCTAAGTGCTCACCAAACCCTCGGTCGTACCGATTGTCACCCTCAAGGCTGCTCCTGGTGGTGTTTGTTTCCATCGTTTCTGAATTCCACTGACTGTCCCACGTCACTCCGGGGCTGGGATCCTTGGAAAACTTCTCTCCAGGTCTTCCCGGTACCTCCAAGTCACACACCGTGCTTTCAAAGCGATCTGCCGGAGGGCCCCTCTTTGTGTTTTCATCGGGCACTGAAACAGACAGATTTCAGAGTCTTTCAATTAAGGAAGCCGCTTAAGAATATCCCTCCAACCTACAGCCATGTCACGCTAACGGAAAGACAAAGTAACCAAGGTGGGAGGCTTTAATACTGAGGGGAAGAGCGAGTACTAGCGTTCCACTGAAACAAAACCTCCAGGAAAATAAAAGGTCTTTTTGCAATTATTTTTTTAAATCTAGGGGAAAATTCGTGAATGCAATGCTTCATCTTCACCCTCGCATTCAGGTGCCTGAAGTGTGAGGCCCGAGTTCCCTGCCAGAGCGGACACCGTCGCACGTCCGCGCTCTCAGCCGCTCTCCAGACACTCCAGCGAGCACCTAGAGAAGCAAGGGTCCGAGCCGAGGCACCGAAGCCAGCTCAGCAGGGGTGCACCCCTTCTGCTACGCGAACCGTTGTCTCCGCAGGCCGGGCTTCTGCGGGGAGATGCTCTCCTGCCATGTCTCGGTTCAGAGAGCTCGGAGCAGCGCTGAGCGGAGAGGACGGCTCTTGCCCCTTACAAGTGATCCCCAGAGAGGCGGAGAGCTCCGGCTCGATGCAGAGGCATGCCCAGACTGAGGGCTGTCAGTCAGACTGCCTCTCCCCTAGACGCCTCTCCTGCTTTCCTTGCAAAACACTTACAATTCCTGATAATCCAACCCAAAAAGGCACCTGGCGCCTTAGCTGCTTAGGCACAGCTCTAGATTTGCCACTGGACAAAACTGTTCTGCTGACCCCCAGATTCCCTCATTCTGTAATTACTGTTTCCTGCGACAAATATCCAGTGTTTCATTTTCCTGATTATTTTCACCAGTCCTCTTCAGCCCAGCTTTCTAACGCTCTGAGATTTTTCTGTCCCCTAAGACCCGTGACCCTTCCTACATCTGAGAGCTGCTACAGAAAGACGCCACCGAGCATCGTGAAGGACCACGGGTCTCTCCGCAATGCCAGCCAGGTAAGTCCAAAGCTACCCACACCGCGTAAACATCCTGAGCTCTTATTTCTCTGGCTGCGTAGTAGGACATCAGCACACAAACGTGTTACCACAGGCCAAGCTAAAGCGTGAACGTAAAAGGCAGCGGTTGCTCTACGGTAATTGTCTAAGCATGTCCTCTCACCCCAGTAACTCCAGGTTACGGGTAAGCACAGACTGGAAGGTCTGGAACAGAGTCGGCTGGGGAGCCCACCCTGCGAGCTCTCTCGGAGCAGCTGGAACAGCTCTGACTCAGGAAGGGGTCAGGTGGAGCTGATCCAGCCTTGCACCAGGGCCATATCCTGGACAACCTGTTTCTGCGAGGCAAAACCATTCACATCGGCAGCTCCCATGCAGTTCCCAGCATACCGAGAGTTTATCCCTTGATTTACTCTATAGGAACTTCATCACGTGCTCATGAATGTTTAAATAACTCACGTGAAGGGAAGGAATTCCAGGCTACCAACCGATTTCTACGCAGGATATTCCTCCGCACCCCCTCCTCAGTGACCCACTTGAGAGCTACGCTGAGCGGTCCCGGGCTGTGGCCCAGGAGGTTGTATTTAATTAATATCCCCATCCAAACTGCACGCCCGTTCCCTGAGGTTAAGCCTCGATCCAAAGATGAATCTCCCTCTATTAACTCCACCCCAAGCGTGACCCATACCCCAAGCGCGCTCTGTACAAAAACTCCTCGGAACGAACGTTAGCATGTACGTCTCCAAACAGCACGTCCTAAAATCGTTTTGCATTAAAGCTGCCTTCTCTTTTGCTGCAGGATGGCTCTCCTGCTTGGGAGCGGGAAGCCAGGGCTCCACGTTCATCGGTACCAGGTTTAGACACCGTCAAGCCAGCTGAAAGTACAAACCTGATCCGTAAGGCCTGAGCACCCCACTGTGCTTGCCTAAACAGAAACTCAAGACAGCGCCTATGACAGTTTTAGGCCAGCTGAAGGAGGAAGGAGCCCCTTCAGCTGACAGAATCTGAAATTTTTGTGAACAAATATTAACTAGCAGGCTGAGGTTTGTTCTTGTTCTTTCATGGCTTACATTATAAGGTCGTGACATTTAATACAGTATAAAAAAAACGCTTTAAATTAGATTTACTGTCCCAGAAATCTCAGCTGAAATCCATTACTGACCCGTGCTTGGACTTGTAGAGACTTCTTCTTTCTCCAAGTCTTGTCGTTCAGGGCAGCGTGGCTCCTCCTCTTGTTTAATCCATGATAGAACGTCAGTTGCATAAGTCTGAAATCCTGTTCATCGGGGAGAATTTACACAACTGAGAAACACTGGGGAAAGATGCAAAGCACGGAAGATTCGGGAATTCACAAAGATAAGAAAAGTGCTGAACAAAGCCTCAGGGAAGGCACGGCACGAAGAGCCACCCGAGGGGTGATTCCAGCAGCGGGAGTTTCTGCCAGGGAATCCTCACCTGTGTCCGGGTCTCTCGGGAGTTCCTCGCCCTCTGCGCCCGGCAGCTCCCTGGCGTACGCCTCCTTGCCTTTCTGGGCCTGACTTGAAGCCTCAGGCTCATACAACGCTTGCTCTGCTAAAGGAGAAAATTCAAGGCAAGCGTATCAAAAGAGCGTAAGCTCAGGATTTCACAAGGGCTCTTATTTTCCCCCAAGCCAACCCTAGATTTTACACCAGCTCCCATGAGCCCAGTTTCTTAACGAAACCTGATGGAAAGGTCTACAAATCCCAGCTGGCTACATGCACTGGAAGCCAAGCAAAATTACAGCAGAGCCAACAGATAGAGCTGCTACCCTTTGTAAAGCGTACGGACAGCCAAGCTCCAAAGCGGAATACTTTATTTGTAACGCAAAGAGGTACCACCAAGTGAGAAGGCAAGAAACAGGTCCCTGGGCTGCGCGGCCTCCCCGGCTACCACCCGTTACGGCAACAGCACCACCAAGGAGTCAGCGCGCTCGCTCGTGTACAGAAAAACCACAGAGGAGAAGGGAGGAGGGAAAAGGCAACCTGAAGCCACTGGATATGCAGAAGGAGAGGCACCGTGGCCCCTGCAAGAGAAGGCTGCAGGGGATGTGGAGCTGAGGAGCTGCCACAGCCGCTCCGATTCCCCTCCAATTCCTCCACGCAGGCGCAGCCCCGTGCAGCCGATGGCACCAACCACAGACCTCACTCCGGCGCTGATTTTTGCCTCCTCCAAGTTAACCCATTGGCCCCAAAAAAGCGACTAATGGCCCACTTTGCACTAGATATTTAACCAGCTTTGAGCTATCAACTTGACGGAAGCAAAGTAAGGAATTTACAGGAGAATGAAACATTCCCTATTCCCCACTGCCCTGCTGGGATGAAAACCAGCCACGTACTCGGCAAACTCCAAAATGGCCGTGAGAAGGGAAAGACGGAATACCAGCCCTTACCCGTCGGGACTGGTGGCAAGCCTGTTCAAAACTCGTGAGCTTTTTATAAAAGATTTGGAATACACGAGAAGAGGTGGAAAAAAAACAACCCTGGAATTTAATTCCTCTGTTTCATTTTCCCTCCGAGCTATGCAGTTACTCACCCGGGCAGGGCTCTTCAGGAGCTTCTCCAGCCTCCCCCTCCTGCTGATCTGCAGCGCACAACTCGTCCTCTTGCTTAATATGGATTATGCTGTCTTCTGTTAATAGGAACCAATGTTATTTTAATTCCATACACAAAATTAATTCCAATTCCCATCCCGTCCCAGGCACAGCAGCTCTGGTCTAGCTCACATTCTAGAGAAAACCTCACTCCAGTTCTAGTTCTCGCTGACCAAGGTCTCCTAAACAGATCTAAAATATTTGTCACAAACCCCTCAGCAGATGTTTGAGCTTCAGAAACACAAAAGTTTCATGCAAGTGTAATGTCCATTTTGTTGCGGTGCCCATTAGCAAATGAAAACACTCCCTACATGGCCCCGGGAGAGGAGAGCACCACTTGAGTTCTCGTTCTCGAGTTCTGTTTCTCTTTCGGCTCTGCCAGAGTTATGCCGTTCCCTTTTCAGTCGCTCTCGGTAAAACACACACCGCTTCTAACCCATCAGAAAAGCACTAGTGAGAATTATGAATGAACCTTTTTGGAAAAAGAAAAAAAAAATTAAATATATAAGGAAAAACAGACGGGCTACTGCTCTGCACGTTACCTTCAAGCCTCTAACACAATGAATTAGAGGAATACTTCGCACGTGTGTAAAAGAACCTACAGCGCGTACGTTTGTGCACACAGAACAGAAAGTCCTCTTGACAGCCAGCCTTCGGGCTGGAAAGCAGAACGTCATCCCGCTCTGGCCGGCAACGCAGGCACGGCCTAACGGCCAGGGTTTGACACAGGCAATCGCAGGCAGCTCGGCAAGCGGGAGAGGGAAAAAAAGGTGGTTTGATGTAGCGACCTGGTTAAGCCTGGGAGGGACGAGATGCCCAACGGCCAAGTTTGGAAGACCACGCTCAACACGGCAAGCGCCGCGGAGAGAGGGTGATGTCCCAAAAAGAGCCCGGCTGCCGGGTTTTTGGCGGTCGTCCTGAAGCCACTCACCGGTGCCGGCCTCCGCAGGATCACCTCTCCCGTCCCCATCCTCGCAGCGCCGAGCACACGTCTGGTTCCCATCCTCCGACCGGGCGCAGGCATCGCGTCTGGAAGCGTCGGGCTCTGCGGGAGGCGTGAGGTGAGGCGCAGCCGGGGGT